ATAAACTCGGGGTAAATGAAATCATTGATTAAAAAATGATTAAATATTGAGTTTTCGTTGTTCAAAAAACAAGATGAGAACTCATCTAGAGGTATGAATCGATTTAGGAACAATTTGTACAGAAATTAATCAGAAATGTCTGTGAATGTATTGAAATGTATAATGCATAGTATGATCAAATTTTCAATTGAAAAAAATTTCAGTGACTATTTATATATTATTCGATGGCGGTTGAATATGTTATTTTATATATCTCTTACAATTTATTTAAATTACTGTTTTGTATAACTATTAAAATCGCTAGAACACTCAACGAGTTTTTAAAAATAAGTTATGGTCGAAGTTGGAAGAATCATTCGTTCGTACGTTCCCTGTACGATAATTAAATTACATTCACCGTTATAACACACACTAAACAAAAACACGATAGAAAAGTAATCGCAGGAAATCTGTATTCAAAACTTAAACACATCTATTCACATTATTCTTTCACATTATAATTTAGTTAATTCACACTTCGTTTTTTATAGCTTAACTGGTCGTACTATTAACTTTGATCAACAAGTTATAACGATTTCATATACATATTTCGTCGTTAACTTGTTTCATATTCACTTTACTGTATACGAAATACAGATTTATAACATTTTTGCGTTCGAACTGTGTAGTCTCTAAAATTTAATACATAACGTAATATTATATTATGTTGTCACGTAATAAAATAATATAGTTTAATATATTTGTCACTCACGTGTCGAACATGTTGTCGGACACTGAAATTAAGCCAACACGGTGAACAAAAGTCGACAGAAGAACTGTCAAACGCAACCGCAACTCTCGCAATAGCGTAATGTTCTGGCAGATAAGCAAACATTTCAAGCAATCATGATTCGTAGTCTTTCGACATATTTCGTCAAACATACATACGTTCTCTGTATACCAAAGTCCTTTGATTTGTGCAGTCACGCAAATAAGAGGGAAGGGGTCGTCATTGAATAGTGATATCTTATTGGTCATTTAATTTACAATAGCGTATGTAATGTATCATCTTCGTTGTACTCTATCGCATCATTATTTTAGATTAGTATTATATTTAGAATATAATACTTATATATATGTGCGTACGAAACAAGGTATGTAGAGAATAATACAATTTGATATATTTATGAATCATCCTAAATGATTCCAAGTAGGTATTCAAACATTTATGAATATATAAATAATAAACTCTTTATAATTAAATTTTATTAATATAATTATATTACGTTACATGTAATTAGGTTGTAATTATACTTATTATTTTATATATTTATGTATGTTGCAATAATATTGTAGAATTTTGTACACTTTTCTGTATATAAATGAATACCATTAAATAAAAGATATCGATTGAATTTTATTTTGCATGTGGTAGTAATATGACACTGTAAATT